CTCTTTCACTCTGGCGCCGTTTGAGATCTACTACAGTACTTACTTCATTCTGAGATGTCTTCCTTGTTCGTCCGAGTTCCCTTCGCCCTCCGGCGTCGGACGTCATCGCTGGATCCAGACGGTGGAGGACTTCACCTCTGTGGGCGCCACCACTCGAGGGAGGAGGAGGATACAACCCACGTTGTGCCCGCGGATGGACCTGTTACGTTCATTACGCGACACGTGAGCTGCCCCTAGCAGCCAAGAGGCCTGCTCTGGGGCACGACATGTACTGCAGCGGGCAGGACTGGTCCTGGACCGGTTATCGAGGATTCAGTCCGCATGGCCCTGCAGCCCTCCGCATCCGTGTGGCCCGGCACCAGACCTCTCCTTCCCTCCGAACGGGACAGGATGTCTTGCCGATGCTGGATAGATGTTATGCCAATGCGGCACAGGTCGTCGCATTGGCTAACAACATGGTTTTCATCACGGGGGCCCTGGATAGGTCGCTCTCCTCTGGCCAGGCGCTCAGTGGAGACCTGCTGTCACAGGCGAGGACCACCTCGGCGGCGATCCTGCGCATGTGCCAGACGCTAGCCGTGGATGGTGGCCCGGACACCGAGGATTCAGTCCGCATGGCCCTGCAGCCCTCCGCATCCGTGTGGCCCGGCACCAGACCTCTCCTTCCCTCCGAGCGGGACAGGATGTCGTGGCGATGCTGGATAGATGTTATGCCAATGCGGCACAACATCTATCCAGCACCGCATGCCCGGTGGTTCCCCTTCCTGAGGGGCATGGCGGTGATGGAGCCCTGGGCCCTCCCGGACGAGCCGGGGGCTCTAGTCCAGGGGGGAGGAGCCCTGTTTTCACGCCCGATAATCGGCCGCAGGCTCCGGGTTTGGAGGCTGAGAGGCGGAGCCTCGTAGACCTGGGTCTTCCCCCTGCGGTGGTGGAGACCATTACAGGGAGCGAGGGCGCCGTCCACTGTGAGGGCCTACGCCACGAGGTGGAGGCTATTCAGTGTCTGGTCAACATGGCATTCATCACAGGGGCCCTGAATAGGTCGCTCTCCTCTGGCCAGGCGCTCAGTGGAGACCTCCTGTCACAGGCGAGGACCACCTCGGCGGCAATTCTGCGCATGTGCCAGACGCTAGCCGTGGACGGTGGCCGCTCCATGGCTGCAGCCAAGTCGGGGCCAGGCACCTTTGGCTTGGGCTGGCTAATATCAGGGAGGCGGAGAAGAGGCAGCTGCTGGACCTGCCCATCTCTCAGACGTCCCTCTTCGGCCGGACATGCAGGCCCTGGTGGCGAGACTGGAGTCTGCAGCCAACGACTCGGCTAGGCTAGCCCGCACCTAGCACCGAGGCGCGAGGCCCACCACCATCACGGAGCCGGGACAGAGGCAGAGAGCGTTCGCCCGGGAGGCATCCTGACCAGTATCCGCGCTCTGTTGTCCATCGTCCCCCACTCGACGAGGCCCCCGGGTCCAGACAGAGCACATCGGGGTAGGCTCGCTGGTGAGCATAACGCACCCACCGCCGACCTCCCTATGGCAGAGGAGGTCGGGGTGGAAAGTTTTCTTCAATAAAGGCCGACCGGCATTTCATCATTACTCGTTTCTAGAGTCTCATTTGGGGGTATGTAACATGTCATAATATTGTGAATTCTGATTGTGTTACTTCTCGAGCACATAACGTTGCTTCGCTAGGCCTGCAGCCCCCAGAGCAGGGTTTGCAGTGCGCTACGCGAGCTACGAGCTCCGGTTCTCTGGTTCATGCTATGCCCTCCCAGAGAGAGGTCAGGCGGAGGGATCTGGTGAGTAGTGATGTGTGTGCTTCGGCCGAACGCGTGTTAGCATCTCTTGAGCTACTAGGCTAACACGGGGTCTCCCACTCAGGGGCTCGCCCCCCCTCCATGAGGCAAGAGCCAGGGGGGGCACAGCAGCCGAGTCACGTGGGATGAGCAGTCCCGTACTTATGACGTCGGGCCTGCAGGACACGTGACCGCCCCGGCGCTCACGGTGTGACGCAGGGGGCCCCCGGCCCTTTCGTCCACCCCCCTCCCTGCGAGGAACACCAGGAGAGGGCGGGGCCGTGACGTCTCGTGTTCCAGCTCCCGTTCCGCCCCTCACAGACTTCTACAGCATCTGGAGGGAGCAGGTTTGCTGACAGATTATGGCTGGAGAAAACATTGCGCAGGGGTTACGCACTGCAATTCTCCCGAAAGCCACCACCATTCCGAGGCGTACGGGCAGCACGCTCTCAGGTACGGGGATCATTAGAGGCACTACAAGCGGAGGTCTCCTCCTGCTGAGTCGAGGCGCAGCAGTGGAGGTAGACCGCAGGACGCCACCAGGGGGCTGTACTCCCTTACTTCTTAGTGCCAAAGAAGTCAGGCGGGGTGCGTCCATTTTGATCGCGCGTTTGAACGAGTGCATTTCCAAACGGCAGTTTCGGATGCTACCACAAAGCAGCTCCTCGAGTGTGTCAGGCAGGGAGACTGGATGACATCATAGACCTGACAGATGCGTACTTCCACGTGACCCATAGTGCCAGAACACAGGAGGTTTCTGCGCTTCACGTGGGAGAGAGGGAACTACGTGTACTGCCGTCTTCCTCCTTCGGCTTCGCCACTCGCGCCTCGGACTTTTTCCCAAATGCGTGGAGGCTCGCACTGGAGACCGCTCAGACGCGCAGGGGGTAAGAATTTTAACCTACATAGACGACTGGTTAATTCTGGGCCTCATCCAGGGAAGTGGCCGTGTGAGCCACACGCACTGGGGTCCTGTCCCACATACAGCGTCTGGGCTTTGTGAGTGAACAGAGGAGAAAGAGCAAGCTGCAGCCAGCTCAAACGCATGATTTATCTCGGTCTGCAGTTAGACTACTGTGACATTCCGTGCTGCATTGTCCGTGGACAGACGGAATGAACATTACCCGTCTGGCCCGGGAGGTTCTGGCGGGCCCCAGAGTCACCCGCTCGGCGCCTCAGGTCCCTGCTGGGAATGATGGCGGACGGCTCATGCTGTGGTGCGGCTAGGCCCTGCTCCACATGAGGAATTTTCAGAGGTGGTTCTCACGCCTCAGGCTTCACCCCTCCCGGGGACGGGGGGGAGGCTGATCTGGGGTTCCCCAAGTGGCAGCATCGGCACATCAGGTTCTGGCTCACTCCGGGTCTATTGCGAGGGACGGAGTGACTCTTGGCCTGCGCGTGTCTCACGTGGAGGTGTTCACGGACGCGTCGCTCGAAGGATGGGGCAGGGGTCCTCGGCCAGAGCTCTGTAGGAGGCTGACTGGTCGGACTCAGCCCGTCACTATCAACCATGCTGGAGATGGAGGCAGTGCACAGAGTACTGCATGCACTTTGCTCCTCAGCTGCAGGGGAGACACGTGATGGTGCGCTCAGACAACACCACAGTGGTCTCCTATCTGAACAGGCTGGGGAGGCACCAGGTCCCCCGCTCTCCATCGACATGGCGACGGTGACGCTGCTGTGGGCGGCGCTTCACCTCCTGTCTCTCAGGGCGCGCCACGTCCCGGGGGTCCGGAACGTGGGGGCCGACAGGATGTCCAGGGGGGGCCCGCTCCAGGACCGAGTGGGGCCTGGCCCGCAGGGTAGCTGCGGAGATCTGGCGGAGGTTCGGCGTCCAGTGGTCGACCTTTTCGCCAGTGCAGGAGAACGCACAGTGCCGTCCTGGTTCGCCTTAAGGGCCGCGGACGAGCCGCCCTTAGGCGTGGACGCTCTTGGCTCATTACCACACTGGCCAGGCGGCATGCTGTACGCTTTTCCACCGGTGCCGTCTCCTGACGGTCCTGCGGACAGCAGGATCGAACAGGAGAGGAGGTCGGGTGATCACTGGTGGCTCCGGACAGTCCGCATGCCCGGTGGTTCCCACTTCCTGAGGGGCATGGCGGTGGATGGAGCCCTGGGCCCTCCCGGACGAGCCGGGGGCTCTAGTCCAAGGGGGGAGGAGCCCTGTTTTCACGCCCGATAATCGGCCGCAGGCTCTGGGTTTGGAGGCTGAGAGGCGGAAACCTCGTAGACCCTGGGTCTTCCCCCTGCGGTGGTGGAGGACCATTCAGGGGCGCGAGGGCGCCGTCCACTGTGAGGGCCTACGCCCACGAGGTGGAGGCTCTTCAGCGTACTGGGTGCGGTTCCCGTTCCTGGGATCCCAGGCGTTGCCCGCTGGAGGGGGTCCTGGGATTCCTACAGGAGCTCTTTGACAAGGGGAGGGCTGTCGCCACCTTGGCGGTGTTCGCCGGCAGCCATTACTTCGGGTCACGACGGATTCGGGGGGTTCACAGCCCGCTCTCATCCGTTGGTTTAAACGTTTTCTGCGGGGGGCACTGCAGGAGGAGGCCCCCGTCCAGAGAAGCCCCCCTGGTTTGGGACCTCAGGGTGGTCCTTAGGGGGCTGTCGGGGTCCGCCTTTTGAACCGGCGGCGGAGGCGAGTCGAGAGTGTGTCGCTTTTAAGACGGCCCTCTTGTCTGGCGTTGGCGTCTGCTAAGAGGCAGCGGGCGAATTGTGTGCGCTCTCTGTCCATGCGTCTTGCTCTGTCTTTTGGAGAGGGCGACGGCATGGTGGATATTGTGGCCCAATCCGGCTTTCTCACCAAAGGTCATCACGTCGGCCTTTAGGTCGCAGAGGTCCTCAGATGGATTAGGGCTTTCTATCCGCCCACCGCATGCCTCCCGCGGAGGAGCGGCGCGGCCCCTTCTGTGTCCTTTCAGAATGCTGAGGCATCTAACCTGGCCACTGACGTCTCCATCAGGTTGGTGGTCAGCTGTTGGTGTGCCGGGCCCCCAGACAGGGTCGCCCGCTGGCTTCAGGTCAGCATTCCACGAGTGGCTGGCGCATGGCTCGCCGCCCCTCGCACGGCCCTGCCTGATGCGGGCGCGTCGGTGCGATGACGTCAGCCGTGCAGGCGTCTTGGGGGCGTCGTCTCCACTTGCGTACCAAGCGACTTATCATTTTGGATGTTGTCGCACCGGTCGGTGGCCCACGACGTGCAGCGGAGTGAGTTAGACCCCCCTCCCACCCCCCCCCCCCCCACCCCGGCCGGGACCTCGGTCCCCACCCCCCCCCCCCCCCTCCCCCCCCCCCCCCCACCCCCCCCCAAACCCCACCCCCCCCCCCCCCCCCCCCCCCCACCCCCCCCCCCCCCCCCCCCCCCCCCCCCCCCCCACCCCCCCCACCCCCCCCCCCCCCCCCCCCAAGAGCCCACCCCCCCCCCCCCACCCCCAGTTAGGTCCCTCCTGCTGAGGGGGCCTTCGGGGTTTACTTTCCGCCCTGGTATCAGGAGACTCTTGGGAGAGGCGATCCTACAGGTGCGTGATGTAACTATATATGTGGTGGTTGGATCGGTCAGGTAAGTCTCACCGTCAGGAGCTCTTGGGAGAGGACGTCTTCTGTGACTACGCGATGAACCTACGGTCTGCGTTACGTGGGGCGTATTCCTTGGTAGGAGTGGCCCTGTAACACGCATTGTTTACTGCTGCCCTGAGTCCTCTCACGGTGTGAGGGTCTTGCTCGGGCGGAAGCTCCAATCCACCCTTCGCTGGACTGCTGGGAGTTACCTGTTCCTACGGGCCTCCGCGTTGTGTCCCACCAGCGAAGTCAGCTAAGGGGACGTGGGAGCACCCTGAAGTTAGCTAGAATTAATAGTGTACCTGCGATAGCGCTTTTCCACGAAGCACCGGCAATACATCCACTCTACACGGAACTACGGCGCGTTACTTTTGCATTTATCAAAGCGTGGACAGCTATGTATTGTGTTCTATTTTAGGAACAGCCTCCGGGAGCGGTTCCAAAAAGCTACACCTTCCGTGACAGTAAGCGGGAATGCACTAGCTATTGGCCAACGGCTCTCTCACACTATTGGCCACGACTGTCGTCATGGGTAGCGGTCATAAGTGCGACGTCTTGACAAGATTCAACCCCGCCTGCATGGAAATTCTTGTAAGATGGTTTATAGTACAAAACTAGTCTACTGGTCGCTCTTTCTAGTCTAGTCGACTATTTTGGACTTGTCGTCTCAATCAACTCAATACTAAATTTTACTGCCGTTTAGTAACACAGGAAGCGAGTGAGTGAGTGGTTGGTGGTGGTCGGAGGGGCGATGGCGCAGACTGGTCGCTCTCGACTTCAGTCAGTCTTACCCCAGGGCCAGCGTGGCCTATAATAGTTGCTTACCACCACAAGTATGGAGTGAATGAATTAGTGCAATGTAAGCGTCTTTGACGTGTCCAGAATGCACTACATAAAAACTGATGGCATTTTTTCTATTATTATAAATATGAGGCCATGACTTAAAATTTCTGTGATCATTTGCAACAAAAATTATACCTTTTATCTATTTTTTTCAGCACCATCCACTACTCTAGTATCACTCGAAAAGGAAAGGAAGGTGAAGAAGACATACGGGATTTGAGGAGAAAAGGTCCCAGAGAGTTGAAAAAGATAGGTCAACACCTGCATTGAATGCAGGACCGCAGCAGACGGAATTAGCATTGACAAAATCAGCGATGTTTCGGTTCTCCATCATGCCACATGCATTACAAACAGTGTGTACACTACCTGATACATCCGGACTTGCCACCCTTTGTATCCGGGAAAGGAAAATGTTGTATGGAGAATGGACAGTTTCGGAGAGAAAGAGATTGAGGCCTTGGCAAAGGCAGAGCTGGCAGGAGAAAAAACTGGAGGCTGCACTTTATCAGCTGTGCGTTTGAGGAAAACAAGGAATAAGTGCAGAATGATGACCGGCATCAGTTGGACGTTTTTTGGAAATTATACATTTTTCTTCAACCTGCCTGCCTGTGAAGTCAAAAATACAGGCAAGTATGCCACAGCAAGAGCAGCTCTTCTGTCTCTCGTCGCAAACTACGCCACAATCTTGAGTTTTGACTTACTGGGCTCTCGTGTACAGCGATGTGAAGAAATGAAGAGATGTTGTAACTTCTAAAGGTGTACTTTTATTCTCTACAGAATCCAAGTCACTCGTGACCCAAACACATGTCTCCCATCGTCTCATGCCTGATGAGCCCCAATTTATGGCCTATGGGCGTACATCATGACATCTCCCCTTTGAAAACATGGGAAATATCCCCAAAATACAATATCTTTTTTTTGTTTTAAGAAATAAACATCTCTGTAAACACAAAAGATTATCTCTGCATCTTGCTTATCTATGTAATAAACATATTACTGCATTATTTCAGGAACAAAACTTTTTAAAACAAAACTGTGTTCCTGTACAGTGTCCAGTTATTGCCTGTATCTAGAGGAGCTCTAATAACTCGGCCTCTAGATGTGACCTGGACATCTTTCCGTGGTGTTTTCATGCAGGTCAGTTTTGTTGTCACAACACATTGTCCAGAATCAACAACTCACTGTCCTCCTGAGTGGCATCCTCTGGGTGGTTTGTTTTTGGTGAGCTCGCATGTGGCAGTTCTTGTGGTGGTAGTGAAGCTGATTGAATCCGGAAACTAGTTGTATGTGTCTCCTATTCCGATCGTGAAACTAGTCCCCATTGTCCATTTGAACCAAGTATGAAACGTGGCTTCACACTCTTTCCAAGAACTTTTCCTGAAGATCTTCAAAGTTTCTTCCCATCCAACTTTACTTTGACGTCTTGTCCTGAAACAGCCATGCCAGAGGTCTCGCTGAGTGGTGGCTGTGTCATGGAAGAACTATAAGAAGACTTGGATGCTAGTCCTTTCTCAAAAATGCTTGCTTGTCTATTGGTACACTGTTATTTGTCTCCAGCTTTGGCAGTGTTGTTCTGATGTGCCTGCTGTCATAAACTACGGCTGGACACACGCCTGTTTTTTCACCACACCCCCCCCCCCCCCCCCCTATAGCAGTGCATGGGTTGCTCGGTCACACATCAGAGCCAAATGCGGGTCAGCGTTGTTTAGGATGTGTTTTGCCTGTTTGTACAGCAGCTCTGCGGCACCGTTGATTGGGGAAAGTGTGGACTGGAAGGTTACATGTGCAAAGCCATATTCTGCACAGAAATGCTTGAATTCCTCTGAAGTGAATTGTGTGCATCTTCGCTGACCAGCTCCAGCGGTATTCACCATCGGACGAACATATTTTTGAGTTTGCCAATAACTTGTCTACCTGAGAAATATTGGACAGGTTTGCTATCTCAATATCTCTGGAATAGTAAATCTGTCACAAATAAGGTAGTTTTGTTTTCCAAAACTCTAATAAGTCGCAGCTGCATTGCGCTGCCAGGGCCTTGTGGCAGAGGGGGTGGTGAGAGAGGCTCATGTCTTTGTGAAGGTTTGTTTTCAGTACAAAACCTGCATGTGGTAATGAGCTGAGTATTGCTCGTTGCTGTTACCCGGCCACCACACTGACATGCTTGCCGGGCGCGACACTTAGTTAGTTTGGTGACCCTCATGTATGCGTTTTAGCACATTTGACCTGAGAGCAGTTGGTATGACTATCCTGTCTGAAACAATATTAGTCCATCTGCCTCAGAGAGTTGTGTGCGCGCTGAATAGTATACTTATGAAGCGAGAGGATGTAATGCCTCTCTTAGGGCCAGCCATTTCTGTTTCTGTGGTATCTTTCCACTTAACTCTTCGTAATGTAGAGTAGCTGCTTGGATTTCCCTCAGTTTTGTGGTGACACTGGTGCATTTGGACATACAGATTGAAATGTACTTGTACCTCTTTGTCGGTGCTGCTATTCACTTGTGCAGCTCAGTGGATTTCTGGAGAGCGCGTCTGTGACCGGCCAGTTGTTTTCCCTGGAACGTGGCTCTCCAAACCACCTGAAATTCTCAGAATGCGCTTTAGAAGCTTTGTAACCTGGGCGGGGCGTTTTCTATGTCGTAAGTGTTAATTAATGGAACCCAAAGGTTTTGATCTGTTTGTACCTGAAACCATCCATCCCTTGTTACATAGCGTGCAAATCTCTCACATGCCATACCCAGCTAAGCACTCTTTTTCGATTTGTGAGTATCGTTTTCAGAGTCCGTTAAAGTTGCTGGGAACAGAAAGCTACTGGCTTTAACTTGCCCCAGTTCTCCTGTAGTAGAGTGGCTCCTAACCCATAGCTGCTGGGCGTCTGCGCTAATACAGTCCTCTCGTTGTGGATCATACTATGCAAGTGCCGGGCTTTTACATGCATAGCTTTAACCTCCATGAGATGCTTGCCCCCCCCCCCCCTCTTCTTGTGCATAATCCATGTCCACCTGCTCTCCTTTCTGAGAAGTTCCCGTTATTTTTTTTTGATTCGGATGTAGTTTTGATGATAGATCAGGCAGAAAACGACCTCATAGTTGATGAGACCAGGACATGGCGCAGCTCTTCCACATTTTGTTGGGCTTCCATTTTGGGTGATTGCCTTTACTTTGTCTGGGTCCGTGCTTCATGCCATCAGCACTGATTATGTGGCCTAAGTACTGTATTTCTGACTTCCTCGAAATGGCATTTTGTTGTTTAGTTTTAGTCCCACTCTCTCTTGGGATGTCCGTGTGGAGGAATTTTGTGACATGTTTATTAACAATTTATCTGATTTGGGAATAGAGTGAATCAGAGGGGAGGTACTTTTTGAGAGACACTTGTGGCATGAACAATGGGAGTACATTATTTAAGAAAGTAAAGGTGACGTATATATTATGTTGGTATGGTTCACTCGATAAAGAGACTAAGATAATGGTGTTACTTACAATAATACATGAAAAAGATAGTGTTATCATTTGGGATTAACCAATTAATACAAAAAGAGTCATAAAATATCTTGTCAGTACATTTAATTTATTAAGTTTAAAATGATAGTAATGATGCGGTGAACATGTGGGACGTGGGAATATCTTATGAGATCGAGTGATCAAGTATGGGTAGGAAGGGCAGAACAGAACAAAATAGGGGGCAACCTAAATTTTTATATATATTGAAACAAAAACACAACTTCTGGCGGGGGTGACATAGAGACGGGCAGATGAAACATGCGATAGGAGTAGTTAATGATTAAGTAGAGATGGAGGGATCAGATACGACACGGCAGACGAAACTTAGTAAATTCCTAAACTACAATGGTATCAGCAAATGGAGGAACGGGTGGAAACTGATGGTATGAACAGGGAGATAGTGAGTGTTGAGGAGTTATAAAGGAATGGGTGTGAGCAAAGATATCCAAAGACAGGATATAACGAGAACTGTATTAATGGTTGGCGTGAAGATGCATAAGCGCTAAAGTAGATATATGAGCATGTAAAGACTCGATGAGGAACGAATCTCAAAGAAAATAAGTAGGGTGGAGACAGGTAAAAGAGGGTGAGAATGAAATGTAGATATGATAAATATAGGAATGAATAGGTGAAATATAAATGGGTTGAAAAGTATGAATTGGAGGAAGTAAACTTAGGTATAAAATAGTTATTTTATATAAGGGATGGGGATGGTAAATTTGGAACATGAAATAGGGTAAGGTTATAGTATGTGATGGGGGGAAAGTGAGGGGGTGAATTGGGGATGGAAAGTGAGAGAGGGCATATAATTAAGGGAATAGGGAATAAATAATAGATGAAGTACACATGGCATCAAGATAGAACAGGGAGAGGATAATAAATCAAAGTTAAAAGTCATAATAGTGGCTGCTGATATAAATGGGGATCGTTAGTGACTAGGTGTTTGATACGAGGAGCTGGGGGACTATGGGTACAAGAAATTACAATGATGGTGGGGTGGG